TTTTTTTATCAGATGTTTAGTAAGGATGACTCTTCCGAATCATGCTCCAAAAACTGGCCTGCGTTATACAGGGTGACCAAAATATCATGTCAAAATTGCCAATTGAAAAATTGAAAAATCTCGATTTTTTTAAATGCAACGCCCTGTATATTTTCATACCATGAGATGCAGAATTAAATTCTCTACAACTTTGCTATACCTGCTCCTATACCAAAATTCATTAGTTTTTCATGAAATCTCATTTCTATGAAAAAATGCGAAGTTTACAAATAGTTTATATGTAAAATAACGTAGTAGGTTCCTGTCAAATGATAATCTGGAAAATTTTCGATTCACATAAGGTTTAATAGAAAAGCGACAATAATAATTTTGAAATTAATTACTCTAAAGAAGAATTAGTAAATAGATAATAGAATAATTAGTAAAACTCATGGTAACTGTTTATTGGCAAGTTGTATTTACCAAGCTAATAATCCAAATTTACAAAGATATCCTTGTACAAAGTGTTTTGTAAAACTGAAGGATAGGTTTGAAAGAACGGCAAATGCAAATTATGAGAAGACAACAAGAACACACGCATGTGGTAATTAGGATAGTCAAATTGACATTTTGGAATGTGCAGCCCAAAATCCATCTACAAGTGTCAGAGAAATTAGTGATGAAATTAGTATTTCCAAAAGTGTGGTTAATAGAACGTTAAATAAAAACAACTTCCACCCTTATCATTCTGAGCATCACCAATTCTTAACACAGCAAGATTTTCAGAAGCGAGTACAGTTTTGTGAGTGGGCAACTATAAAGTCATCCTTTGCCAATATTGGTCGAGAGAGTCGACATAATTATCACCGTTACGCCGATCATAATCCCAGATTAATAAGACAAGACGATCATCAACACCGCTTTAAAGTCAACGTTTGGGAGGGAATATGCAGAGAATATGTCATTGGACCACATTTTCTTGAAGGAAACTTAACTGGTAATGGGTATTTGCAATTTTTACAAAACGACTTGCTCCAATTGCAGGGACATATTCCTCCGGATGACTTAAACAGTGGTTCCAACATGATGGTGCCCCTGCACATTCCACACTGGCGGTAAGTTTTCTCATTATGTAAGTTATGTAAATTCTTAGAAAAACTATTTAAGGTTAGAGAATACTTAAATGATTTGTATCCAGCTAAGTGGTTAGGTAGCCAATTCCATGGCCTCCCCGATCCCCAGATCTGTCTTGTCTTGATTTTTTTTTATGGGGCTATATAAAAGACAGGGTGTATGAAACTCCTCCGACAGATGTAGAAGATTTAGGGGCAAAGATAAGAAATGCTTTTTTGACCCTAACTCCGGAAATTTTGCGAAATGGGTCAAGCAATTTTCGTCGTAGAATTGCTCAATGTCTATAGAAAAATGTCAGACATTTTGAGCGGTTACCTGTTAATTACTAATCTAACTAGGCCTTTATTACTTTTGTTAGAAATGCACGATGTTAATTTACTGTTTTGGAGACTGCATGCGTGTGTTCTTGTTGTCTTCTCATAATTTGTAATAGTTGTTCTTTCGAACCTCTCCTTCAGTTTTACAAAACACTTTGTACGAGGATATCTTTGTAAATCTGGATTATTAGTTTGGTAAATACGACTTGCCAATAAACAGTTACCATGAGTTTTACTAATTATTCTATTACTTATTTACTAATTCTTCTTTACAGTAATTCATTTCACAATTATTACTTTTTCCATTAAACCTTATGTGAATCGAAAATTTTCCAGATTATCATTTGACAGGAGCCTATGTTGTTTTACATATAAACTATTTGTAAACTTCACATTTTTTCATAGAAATTAGATTTCATGAAAAACTAATGAATTTTGTTTTAGGAGCCGGTATAACAAAGTTGTAGAGAATTTAATTCTGCATCTCATAGTATGAAAATATACAGGGTGTTCCATTTAATAAATTGGAGATTTTTCAATTTTTCAATTGGCAATTTTGACATGATATTTTGGTCACCCTGTATAACGCAGGCCAGTTTTTGGAGCATGATTCGGAAGAGTCATCCTTACTAAACATCTGATAAAAAATGGGGTTAGTAGCTATTAGTATAACCTGCCAGTATCAGAAAATGTAAGCAACTAATATCGACTAGAAAAACCTTTCAAGCGAGATATCTCAAAAATTGTGAATATTTGAATAGAACTATTCTACACAAAGTACCCTTTATTTTTTATGTGGAATTCGAAAAAAATATAAAAAATGTGTGTTTCAATTTAAAAAACCAAAGTTGGTGTATGTCCAGGAAAAGTGGAACACCCTGTATAGTTGAATATATTTTTAATTTGTACATTCCGAGAAATGTGGCAACACAGTAAAAAGAAAAATCCATATATTTCTCATTTTAACATAGATATTGGACTTTCCCGCACTAGTGGGACACGCTGTATAATTCTGACACTAGTTTTTCAAACAACTGATTTTATTCTTTATTAGGTTGCTATCGTTATGAATGTCACCGCGCCTAAAGAAATAAATCACGTGGACTCAGGTAAGGAGATTGTATCGGTTCTGAGTTGATATGCTATAATTATAAGTCTACTGATTGGCTTATTTCTTATCTGACTTTAATCGATGTTTTATTTCTCCAAAAAACTACTCAATCAAACTGTAATAGTTTCCATACGGATTCATAACTGGAAGATTTGCATAATGCCTTAAGCTATGTCCTCCAATCGTAATTAATTCTAGTTTTAATGTATTTAAAATGAAAAAAAAAACTATTTAGATGAATAATTAAGCGTTAGGATTTACATTAACTAGCAATTATCACTTTTTTGAAACATAAAAAATATATATTTTATTATTGGTTCTTGCACTTTTACTTTTTAAGATAATAAATTGATTGAAACAAAATTCTTAAAATGCAATCAAATAATGTTCTTTGATACCAAAAATCTAAAGTAGAGTACTGGTTTCCCGCAAAATCAGTTAAGGATCTTATCTACGTATGTGGTTGTCTTTTGAATATCTAAATTTTTGCTATTAAAAAACATTGTTTGACTTATCATTGGATTGGATGTTAGGATTTTTTTTGAAGTTTTGAATTAGCTTAAGATTTTTAAAATAAAGTAAAAACAGTTATTAATTTTTTAATTAAATTTTTAGAAGAAGATTTTTATCTTTAATTTAGCAACTTACTAGCATACAATTCATTGTTCTGTATCAAATGCTTTCAAAGGTATTTTAGGAAATACGATATTTTTCTCATATTTTAACATCCTGTATCACGAAAATCAAGCATTCTCGGATATTTCTTCATATAGGTCTAACATAAGGACTTGTCACATACAGGTATGTAAGCAAGATTACTTTCATTAAATTATTTTGCCTAACCAAAAATCTTACAGTGAAAAAAGTAGAAAAAAATAACGAACAAATCAGTTAACGTTTTGAAAAAAAAAATGTATTTGTTTTTAAAACTAGCAATGACATTTTTTTAAATTGTGTTTGGTTGTTTTAATTTTGTCTGTTTATCTCTAGTGCGTTTACAATGAAAATAAAAAATACGTTTTCTATCAATTAAATTTAGCATTTATTAAACTATATACGATCTCTTGAAAATTATACCCAATACTTAACTAATAATAAACAAGTTTCACATTAAAATCTTTATTTGTAGTAACACAAAAATTGCATATATAGAAACGTTGTACTTATTACTTCTAAAAGTAGGGATCCAATTCACAGTTTTTTCTAAACATAACTACCTGTTTCCGTTCTTAGAAGAATATGAATATCTAAAAGAATAGTTTTACTTAAATATTCATCTTTTTAAATTAATAATAGGTTACTTACGTCAGGATCTAGACTGTAGAAACATTTCAATAATTCGTACAACCTATCTTCTACTTTCGCGCTACCTAAAATAAGAAATTTTCCAGAATAATATAAATAATAAAAAATGTGCAGCTTCACAATATTTTCTTGATCGCCAAACAATGATATTTGAAGACTATCATTATGAGATGATCAAGCTGTACACATATTCTTACCTCTTATTTCTGTGTCACAATATTTAGCATTCGATATAGCCTCATCTTTGATATCTGCAGGAAGAAGATAGGCTCCTAATTCATAATTGAATTCGCCTCTCGCGGACATCTGTAACGCCAAATGGTATTTTTAATGATTCGTATTTTGTGGTTGTGACTTACGAGAAAATTTTAGATAATTAATAATAACTTCTCTCAGTATATTGCAAGAGTTAAATACGAAACATAATAAGTATGTATTTTATGAAACGAAAATTATAAAAAGTTATAATACAAACAGTTACTAGACTTACCAAGTTGCTTTCCCTAAAAAGACATGCCGCGTAAGACTGGAACAAAAATTTTTTATTAAAAGTTATGGTTATTTAAATCCTGTATTTGGTACCCTTTAACATTAAACAAAAACTAAGTAAATGTTTGAATTTCTCATCATTAATACTCTCAGTTTCCTGAATTTCATCAAATCGCCATGTTATTGAACAAAAATATAATCAAAATACCAAACAAATTTTTTTATTTCTGAGTCGCTGTATCTGAAGAACCAAACCATTGCAAATCTATGTTCATATGAACTTTTTATCTTAAAATTATTCAAAGATTCACCCTTTAAAGTTTGCACAAGTACTTAATAAACATCCCGTATATTCCGAAAGGAATATTTGGTTTGTAAATTCGTAAGAAATTGTCAAGAAAGTTGGATTTACGATTTTGTTGAAATTCATAGCAATATTTTCTAGGGCACTTTTAAAAATTTCAAAAGGATCCTTTGCTCTTGGCAATTTTTAAATTTTTTCTAAAAAATGAAAACATTTTTAATGGTTTAAAAACAAGCAAGAAATTTTTTGACCAATGACAATTGAGACACAAAACATCGTTCGGGATTATTGAAACTCACCTTTATCAACGGATCATCAATAAATACTCCATTTATCACACTGTTAATCGAATAATCAAGTACACCAGTTCTAAACTTACATATTGAGTGTAAGCGTGGCGCTATTGACTGAATTCTGGGACCGAATTCCTGAAATATTAAGACGGATTAAAATTTGGAAGTCATCCTAATTTTACGATGACTTACTGACGCTCTTAGCCTGGCCTCAACGGTAGACACAGCTAATACAGAAGATACTGCCAGTAAAAATTTGAAGTTGATCATTTTAAGAACTAGACACCTGTCTTTGATTTTCGCTTTTATAGAGGAATTGAACCGCAACCCATCTTTACAGAGGCGGACCGACTTCAAACAATATCCTTAATTTTAACAATAAATTGTTAAAAGGATTAAATTGTGAATATAACAATAAAGACGTTCCTAAAATTTCGATTTTGCCAGTGGATGGTGATAGATATTTCTAAAGGAAGAATGAAGCCTGAGGTATTCACATCAGGAGATCTAGAAGGCTGTGGCAAATCGGTTCTTTACATTGTTTCATTCTATTACTACCATAGAAATCCTGATGAACGAAATATGTCAAAACGTTGTTTTCCCTTCAAAGCTGGCCAAAGCGAAGTTATAGATTCAAAATGTTAGGCAAATGATTGATTTCTAATTGAAAATTTCTCTTTTTATAAATTGATGTGGTTGAAGGACAATTGTAAAGTCTTTTTTAATCAGCGAATGAAAAATCATAATTTTTTTATGCCCTAAACATTGTCGGCTATTCCATACGAATCAAGCGACGATTATTTATAAACTTAAATTAATTAAGGTGGGATAATATTCATGACCAATAACCCTGTACTTTTCCAGTCTCGTCGCGTGAAGCGTCACTTGACGCATTTACATTCCGAGAATCTAAAAATTTTGAGCAAAAAAGTAGGAAAGTAAGAAAATTTCACGGCGATTGAGTCGCACTTAGAACAGAACAACAAGAACCGAAATCAACATCAGGGGGAGCCCGGGGTTCTGATAGCGGGCCTGCCCCCACAGAGCTTAGACCCAGAACAACAAGGGTAGGTCAAAATTCCTAGCTAAGGCTATGGAAATGCAAGTCTGTAAGTGGCAGTGAACAACTCGAAAAATATAGTACCTTAAATATCAGCACAGATTATTATTATCTATCAAACGAATCCTCGAGATTCCAAGATTTATAATTGTGCCTTTTTATTTGTATCAATGTTTTGGTGAAATCAACGAAGAAAACTGCTTGGCTTATTTCGAACCTGACACCTAATAAATATTTTGTCAAAAGGAACTACACAATAATGAGTATATTCCACATATAACTGGAATATTTGCATAATGTGATATAATGTTTGTAATCATAAAAATAATGCTTTTATAGTGTAATTTAGATTTTACATCAACGGTTATAGCTTTTTTAATGAATTTCATATTAATTTTTTCCATATTGTTTACTAACGGGTGAGCCAATTTATAAAAAGTTTACTAATTTAAGACGAAAACAATCATTTCCAATAAATCAACTAGATCGAGAGAACTTGTTTTCCTTACATAAGCATAAGTTTATTCTAATACCCATCGGTCATCAAAATGTTCCGACTTTTACTAATTAAATTCAAGCTCCGGATTTTAGGCCATCTGTACACATTTCCTGTATAAGACGGAAGCAGCTTTAAGAATGTCTTTATACTTATTGTTAGTAAAAACTACTTCATTACCAGAAATATAAAATATCATTTTTGAGGTATGTTGTTTGTATAAATGGGGGCCTTATGCCAGTTGACCTTTTACGAATACGATATTCAAAATAGGTACTCCTGTATTTATTAATGGCTGTAGATTTGCATTATTGTATTTGTCAATTAAGAGATATTCCTATTATTCTTTTTAAACATTAAATTTTAAAAGGTTCGGTAAATCCCCGAATAATTAATACATTAATTACTCGAAACGTAAATTAATTACAATAACTAACTAATAGATCCCATTTTATGAATAAAAGACCTTCGACTTCTTTTAAAAAATAAGCGTGAAATTATATACAATTTAGTTATTATCTTGTCTTGACTGCTATAGTGGACTCTGTTCCAGATTGCACATCTCTAGAGCGAAGCTGTGTTTTTTTACGCTGTATAGTATTCGTGTGTTTCTTGCTTTCTAGTTTCTAGTCTACATCTACCAGTAAATTTAAAACACAGTTAACGAAGTATAAAACAACGATATGTTATATAGTCTTCTAATTTTTTTAAGATTCCAAAATTAATTTCGAGTAAATACTCTGGCTATAATGTTCAAGTTAAATTTATATTAAATGTATTTTTAAAATAAAAATAGCCAGCTGTATATTTTAGTAATCATTGAAATATATTTTTCATATAACTCTACTTTCATCCTTTGTTTCTGCAAGGGTAGAATAGTAAATGTGCCTTGTACAAATTAAGCAGAAAAATGAAAAATACAAGCTTTATTAACATTAATATTTGATATACAAAAATAATTTGCTTTAAATTAATAACAAAAGTCATTTACAACCGTCTTTGAAAACGAAACAATTTTTTGAGAAGGAACTTTTAACAGTAACACCAGAAAAACTACCTAAATTTTCTTTGCCATCGAATAAATGTTGTTAATTTTCCCTCAAAATCAATTCAGAAAAATTGTCATCACTAGTTCTTTCGACTCCTGCTATTAAACCAGATATTTTATTCTTGGATGTTATGCTATCTTCTGCATATTCTGATGCTACAATATAACTCTTCTATTTTCCATGTCTTTTCAATGTTATCAAAATATCTGCACCTGCATCTACGAGAAGAGTTGCCGATGTACGACGTAAACAGTGACCTGTGTACATTTTAGCATTTGCGTAGCCGAGATATTTTGCAATCCTGGACGGTATGCCACCGAAGGTATTTTTGCCTACTGGTTACGCAGTACATAGACCATTCCGATATGTCAGAAAAAAACGCCGTTCTTTAATTTTTTTTTGGTCGCAAAGATATATACTGTCGATACAATTGGAGAGCGTACATTTCATTTTCTTCCACAATAGTAAAAGATTTTGTATCGTTAATTTTTACTACAACAACGATTCCTTTGTTATCTACTTCATCTATCGAGAGCTTTACCAACTTCTTAATCCTCCAAAAATACCCATTACTAGAACAACCTACAATAACAAAAACCTAATACCTTCTTTGTCCACAATGTGCTAGGGCTGAGTGATTCTGACTAAAAAAATATATAAAACATATAAATTATCAAAAATTATAAATATTTCTTCAAACTGATAAAAAGTAATACACACCAGTTCTTGGAAACATCTCATTAATATGGTTTCACAAACAGCTGTCACTGAATTTCTGCTTGTCTAAGTATCAAAACGTTTATATTCTTTATCGTAAAGTAATTTACATTTCTTAGGCAGTAATACTTCATTAGCTTTATTGGCTCTAGCTGCAACTATTGCTGGAATATTATCCATTCTGCCTTTTCAATATGTCTCCTCAGAATCAAACATCAAACTATCAAAATCAACAAATTCGCGAGTATCATAGATACCTACATCTTGAATACATCGTTTATATATTGAAAAACAGGTTTCATCCTTATTTATATTTAATTATTAAATTTAAAATAAATATAAAATCAGATGTCTAAATAAAAAAACAAAATGTTGTATGCAGCACGGGAGATACTAGGATGATTATGCCCTTAGGCGACTTGCTTTCCAATCTGTCGCCTGTGGACATAACCATCCCTGTATCTCCCTTGGTACATAAATAACTGTCAGTTTATTTCAGCCTAGTGCATGTCTGAACTTATTTATTTCTGGTGTAGTTTTGTTTTTTTTTCTTCATTTGCTGGATACTTTGCCACCTACAAAAAAATATAAAAAATCAATGAATCGTGATTATTTTATAAATATAATTGTGCCTAGCTAATTTCACACTAGAAAAAGCAGACAAATACAAAATACACATAAATATACAGTGTGTCCCACCACGAACTCTATTGATGGATATCTGAGAAACCGCTGGAAGGATTTTTTTTTTTAAATTGTAATGGTGTGATACGGACCATGGGGCCTACCAAGCTAAAATATTTTCAAGGCCATCGTACTTCCGGTTATACCGGAAGTCGATACTAACTTTCTTATTTTAAATGGAACCCTCTGTATATTATTGCATTTTTGAAATGAGCATCTATTTTTAAGTTGAAAACATATAGCACACTCCATACTTAAGATTGACCGTTTCCGCGATATTTTGATTTAAGCAAAAATAGACAGATGCAGACTGTCAACAAAATTTAGTATTCCCGGAAACATAGGTTTATTTTTTGTGACAATTGAACATTTTGTAGAGGGATTTATCGAATTTGACATGAAAATTTTCCAGTTTTTATACAGGGTGCTCAAAAATTTTTTATCGAATATGAAGTTCAGAAAATGTAGAAAATTCGAAATTTTTAAATGGAAACCCCTAATTTTTTTAACGTATTCGCATTCTGCACTAAATTAACAATTAAAAACCTGTGATAGTTGTCAGGTTGATTGTTACTTACCTGTCACGGACAATCTAAAATGTACGAAACAAATAAAAACATCATTTTAAGAAAAGGGATATGTTTATTTGTAAATAAAATGAAAACCACTGGGTTTAGGTATAGGGAAACTTTAACAAAGTTACACTTAATTTTAGTTGATCAAGAAGGCTTGATCAACTGATGACAGATTTATTTTCGAAACTTTTTGAAGTATGCGATATATTGTTACGTGTATTATGAATCTATTTGTCCGTTTTTCTCAGTGTGAGATTTTTTGTTAGCTAAAGCTATTTCCATAAAAATAACCCTTGACTGCATTAATTTTTTTAATTTTTTCACATGCAGCAAAATACCCAATAAATAAAGAAAAAAAAAATAGTGCATGCCTAATTTATTATCACTTATTTCAATTATGCGCGTTTTGATAATTATAATTAAATTGCAAAGCGTAACTTGTTTATTAATAATAACGATTTCAGTTAATGACGTAAGTATCGTAATAATTTTACGTTAAACTTTGAATGAAAAAAATGACATTGACTATTAGAAATAGAAAACATATTATGTATGAGGAGAAATTCTTTATTTTACGTTTTTTAGTAAATTCAAAACACAATTTTATTATGTAGAAAGCAAGAATTTTCTTTAGAAGAAGGCTGGGGTATACAGTGGCGTAGATATGGCAGAGCAAATGAATAAAAGATTTCGGATGCGTCGAGGAAAAAGTTGGTCAACATATAGAGGGTATTCTCTACAAAGAAGTGATAAGAAATATAGTAGTTGAGTTTATGTTTAAAAACATTTTTCGACATTTAATATATACAGAGTATTGTCTTAACCAATAAAAAAAAATTAAACACATTTTTATTTTGAAGAATTAAGTTAACAGTTCTCTGAAGCAATTAAAAATATTTTCTGAGTAGGTAAACTGCCATATTCGTATATTAATATGTAGGTATATTAAAAAATATATGAATTTAACATTTTTCTTCTTAAAATTATACAAATGCAACAAATATTAGGTTGGGTTTCTTGTTTGTAATATTATATCCCGATAATAAGATAGGTTGAGTTTTACATATCCAATTATTAGATAATATACAGAGTGATTCACAACTTATCCAAAAAATTTTGGGAATAGATACGGCATGAGAAATGGAGTCAATATCGTAAACAAAATTTTTGTAAAATCCTTATAGTTTCCGAGAAAAAAATTATTGAAGTTATAGTACATTCAACCACTACATAGCTGGACAACTGTAGTCTCTAGCGCCATTCGCAATACGCGTAGAGAGCCATGTGGCTTCAGCGACTCCGAATACTGAAATCCGATTATTCAATCTTCGTTGCGATAGTATTTACCTGTTATCTGTGGTGTTTACAATAGTTTTTTAGTAGTTAGTGTCAAAAATGGTTTGCGTGTATAGCAATTCGAAGTTGATGGATATCGTTTTAATTTATGGTGAAGCATTTGTGTTATGGTGAAGCAAGACAACATTTGTGTTAGTTCGTAGAAACTGAGTAAGACAGACCCAAATGTGTTTACACGTTGGTGGATAAAATTTTGAACAATTGTTGTTGTAACATCGGGTATGTCAAATGATTTAATTATTTAAAAACACAAATTAATTTTATTAATTAATAAAGGCAAAAGCAATTGAATTTGCAGATGTAAAATAGGCGCTATAAAATTCTATTTACATATTTCTTTCCTTGCGAAAGTTTTTGTCCGTTTTTATCACACCGCCATGCCGGTCGCATTGTGCGAGGTCGGGTTTTACAGTGGACCAGTTTCCAGTGCCGCGCAGAATCGTATTTTTAAATCATTTTCGAACTGCCCTTTTTGATTTTTTCTTTACAAAACTGTATTTATAAGGGTCCCCTGTATATCCAGAATCTTTTTTTGGGATAAGTTCTGTATCACCCTGTATTAAATATTGGTATAGGCGTAAGATTTCTTCTCTGCAGGATTACCTATGTTCTGAAATCTGTATTAATATGGTTCATGTTCATATCACCTGACCTTATTTTTTAAAGAGCGCGGAACAAAGTGACGTGTTTTGTATTTGTCAGCTTTTTTCAGTGTAAATTTTTTTTAATTTAAATCTTTTTCACAGGTGACAAACTAAAAAAAATAAACAAAGTTGGAATAAACATAAAGGATTTTTTTTAAGTAACAGATACATTTTATTTTTTGAGTAAAGGTATGGGAAATAGGTCCAAACATTTTTATGGTTTGGGACCCTATAGCCACGCCAGGAAGGTTGGGTCATTGCTTGACCACAAGCCCCTAAAATCAAAATATAGGGTGTAACAAAAATAAGGTTACAAAGTGCTTCATTTAAAGGCATATTTCTTGCTAATAAAGGATTGCTCCTAATTTGGTTTGCCAGTGTAGAAAATAACTTTCAATTTTTTTATGCATTTACAAATTTAAATGCCTTTTTGTTGAAAACGGTTGGCTTTGGAGATATTAGCAAGGTATACCTTTTTTAAGCAGAAAAGTTGGGGGAAAAGATTTTTCCGGCACGAAGTAAAATACACGGTGGCACAAAAAGTTTTGGCAGTTTAAGTGCGTCCTAATGGTCGCTTGTGGCGCCCTCTAGAAGATACAACGAAATCGTCAATAAATTCGAATTTCTCGTCCCAAAACACCCCCGGATACGAAATTTCACGAAATTAGCTCGAAGTAGTCGAAAGATAATATTAAAAGAAATGTTATTTATTTTTTCAACTTTTTATATGAAGTACCCCTACTAATTTTAAGTGTTCTATCTGCTGGCGAAGTTTGTAACCCTGATTTTGTTACACCCTGTATCTAATTACCTATACAAGCATTTACCATCGTCAATATACTGTAAACCTCTCATAGTGCTAATTGTGCAATATTCACCATTTCAGGATATCCTTACCATAGAAGTGGAAGTTGCTATGGACAATGGGAGGTAAGTGAGGTAACTTACCTCCCTAGGGAAAAAGCGATTTCGAGTTATAAATGCAAATTTATGAACAAATAAATACAAATATTTGATGAACATTACATTTTATTAATTATTATGAATGAATATTTATAGTAATTATACAGCTAACATTAATAAAATTTGGATAATTATTCCCCTCGCGTTTATTAATTGTCACATTTTTCTCAAAATGATTTGACCGCTCCATTTCAGTCACCGGAGGCTCAATATTATCTGACTGATCCATTAAAACAGTCATTGTAAAGAATCCTGTTAGCTATTTCATTTCTGTTATTTAAACTGCTGATTTCCACCCACCATGTCTCTTGATTGCTAATACATCAACTCCTGTATTAGCCAGTAACGTTGTCGATGTTCTTCGGAATAAATGGCCTGTATATATTTCAGGATGTTCTAGTTTAAAAAACTGTGCAATCTTATCTCGGGTAATAAAAATTCCCAGGCAGCAAAATTGCAATTTTTATGTAGCTTTGTTTATAAACACCTTAGAAATGACAAAATCCGAACAACTAAAGCAACTTTGCAAGATTTCGAATAATGTCAAAATGAATTGTTTAAGAAATGCCAAAAAATAAAACCTAATCTTTTTTCATGAACCATAAAGTACTGTGGGCCCCAGATAAAATGTTATACACCACGCAGCAGTTAAGTATAATTTACCAGTCTCGGACTCTATTGCCAGCCCTCGCTCCGCTCGGGCGCAAAATCGTCCTCGACTGGTAAATATTACTTACCTTTCTTTATGGTGTCAATAAGTATTTTAGTTAAGTCTTAATAAAAGGGATACATTTTTTTGGAAAAAAGGTTTTTTGTGAAAATATTAAAAAAAATTGCATTCCACTTGATATCACATACTTCTAATCAGGTTCGTACAAATAAAAGCAATCTTCAAAATTGATAAAGAAATGGTAAAAAATGTACATTTAGTGCATTTAGTGAAGTTCCGATTAATTGTTGAATACATTTTTATTTATTTAAACTTTCAGTGTTAAAAATATAACACACCCAACAATATGCAACAAAAATGAGGGTAAAATAAAACAAAATTTAGTTCTCATATCTTTTAATATTAGTAATTGTACTGTAGCTACTTAATATGTCTGTCTGTCGGACCAGTTGTTCAGAAGAATATGAATATCTAAAATGAATTCGATTTAACGTTAACAGGTGAGAATTAATAATAAGTCACTTACATCAGGATTTTGTTCGTAAGCACATTTTACGAAAACAAATGCTTTATCGTCGAAACTCTGGAAACCTAAAATTAGAGGTTGCCATACAACACACTGAAATTGTTGGTAAAAAGGTAAATTTTTTCAGCTCATCTCATTTCAAAATCTTCAACGTGAGGTAGAAAAGCTTGATTAATTAAGGAATATTGACATAACTGCGTGCATAGAATACCATAAAATACAATGTATATCACTTTTTAACTTCTTTATGCTAAATTCTAAAAAATAATTAGCGTTCTAATAAATTTAAAATGTTCCACAATAATACCTGTTTACATTTTTTCCGTAGAACAAGTCTGCCCCTCCATATATTAATGAAATGGAAGCAGCGGCGACTGCCGGGATGGGCGAGCTCTGGGGCGCCGCCTGCTTTGGAAATTTTCATAGTACACAAATTTACTCAATAATAGTTAACTTTACATCATATTGGACAAAAAGTCACCTCTTAATTGGTTTTACAACCCAGAACATAGTCGAAAGTCACTCACTTCTGTTGCAATAAAATTTTAGTTGTACTCATATTAAGAGAGTGAAAATTATTAAGAAAAATTTAGAGAATTTGAGTGATTTTTTTTAGAGTGTACGTGCTCACAAGATTTTATTAAAAAAATTAACAGCAGAAAAGTTCAATTATGTAATTCATATCATAGAATTCTCATGAACAGCGTGTAACTAAATAAGTGTAAAACATTTAAGAGGGTGATTCCTCATCGAAAAAAAGATAGGATCTTTAATAAAAAGAAACTTCATTGGAGCATCCCTTGTTAAGATACAGCCCCTTAAAGGGGGTACATAAAATTTGTTTAACAATTTTTTTCACAAGCACTAAACAAGTTACAATATTGAAATTAACCTGACATTTTCTACTACCAAAAAGACACTTAGCCAGTAATTTATTTGGTTTACCCCATGGTAGTAAGGGGTGGAAAACGCAACCCCTAAAATTTATTTCCAACGTAATTTTTTGTCTTATTATTTTTTTACCATTTAAAAAATTATTTCCGATAGCCTGTTTCATTCTAAAAAAAAATGTCTCTTGAATTTTTTGCCCAAATTAAACCAGTTCGCAGTAAAAAATTATTTTACGAACAACTACAGAGATACATCGTCATAAATGCGGACTGGATTTACTGTTATTTTGTAGTTACTACCTGCATTAAATGATTAAAGGGGAATAATCAAAACTAATTTAATAATAACAAAACATACAACATGTAGAAATCATAGTAAATGTTCAATATGTCTACCTTCAGACATTACGCATGCGTCTAGACGTCGGCGCATTGAGCCACGTATTCGCTCAAATATTCCTGGAGTCTCTCTAATTACCCTGCACGCATCGATAATGCGGTTTCTTAAGTCCTCTACATCGCGAACAGGAGTACGATAAACCAAATGCTGCAAATGGCCCCAAGTAGACAAATCCAGAGGATTGAGATCCGGGGATCGAGCGGGCCAATTCTGTGGTCCTCCTCGACCTATCCACTGATTTGCATATGTTTCAGTTAAATGCTGACGTGCTACTTGACTAAAATGGGCGGGAGCCCCATCATGCATAAAAACCATATCCCTTCTGACGCCCAAAGGAACTTCCTCCAGCAGTACGGGGGGATGCACTTTTCTTAAAAATTGAACGTATGCCTCACCATTTAATCGAGGAGGTAGAAAATGAGGCCCAATTAAATAATCCCCAATAACTCCGACCCACACCTTAAGAGAAAACTGTTCTTGATGGTTAGTTTCGACAATAGCGTGATGGTTTTCATCAGCCCATATGTGGTAATTATGAAAATTAATAATCTTGTCCCGAGAAAAACTACATTCGTCTGTGAATTCGATCGTCTTCAGAAAGTCACGATTTCTTCTAATCATTTCCAGCATCCAATTGCAAAATTCAAGACGGTTCGGAAAGTCTCGCGGTAACAGTGCCTGTACTCGTTGCAGATGGTAAGGGTATAAGAGATGTTCCTTTAAAATTCGAAATACCGTCATATGATCAACATTTAGCTGGAAAGCAATCTTTCTAGTACTGGTAGTAGGTTGTTCTTCTATCAAATTAAGTACTGCTGCCTCAAGCTGTGGTGTTCTTACTTCTCGATGGCGACCACAATCCTGCGTTCTTTTGTTGAATGAACCATATTCACGTAATCGTTGATGAAGTCAGACAAATATTCTATGTGAAGGATGCTGCCGTTGAGGATACATTTCAGCATATCTTGTAGAAGCTTCTAACCCATTCCCCTGCGACAGACCGTAAACGTAATGCATATCAGCCATTTCCTCATTTGTGTATGCCATTTTAATAACAAGTGAATTATTAAAGTAACAAATTAAGAACAGAACAATACACAATTAGTATTACTTCAATTTCAAAAATTTACAAACTGACAGCTTGATTCCAATTTAATTGTCAGTATCGCTAATGGCGGCCTACTAGATAAATTAGTTTCGTATTTTCGTTTTATGGCGATATGTATCTTGTTCGTAAAATAATTTTTTGCTGCGAACTGGTTTAATTTGGGCAAAAAATTCAAGAGACATTTTTTTTTAGAATGAAACAGGCTATCGGAAATAAATTTTTAAATGGTAAAAAAATAATAAGACAAAAAATTACGTTGGAAATAAATTTTAGGGGTTGCGTTTTCCACCCCTTACAACCATGGGGTAAACCAAATAAATTACTGGCTAAGTGTCTTTTTGGTAGTAGAAAATGTCTCAGGTTAATTTCAATATTGTAACTTGTTTAGTGCTTGTGAAAAAAATTGTTAAACAAATTTTATGTACCCCCTTTAAGGGGCTGTATTTTAACAAGGGATGCTCCATGAAGTTTCTTTATTTGATAGATCCTATCTTTTTTTCGATGAGGAATCACCCCCTTAAATGTTTTACACTTATTTAGTTACACCCTGTATAAACCAATTTCCTTCCATGTCTGCTTCTTTTTTAAATTTTTCTAAATTTTGACTTTGTTTGAATGACTTTCGTATCGCACTTTGTTGTCGAGAAAAAAAATAGAAATCATAATTCATATTTTATTAAAAATAAAACATGAATTCGTTTATTATTCTTTTTCTCGTAAACGGTTCATTTTATCGACAATAAACAAGAGTACCTTTTTTTAGTCTAAGGTTGAAGCTACCCAGTCTTTATCATACAGGGTGTTAAAAATTTAGGCATTAAGATGTAAAGCTTAGCCCGCCCCTGGTAAACCAAAAATGTTATAAATATGTTTCAAGTAAACTGTTTTATTTAAGAGATCCTTACTAGTGTCCGTCACATAAAATTTTTATTAAACTATATTAAGTACTTTAAAAGTTATCCAAGAAAAACCGATTTTCAGCGGCGTAGGGAGGGCCTGTACGAAAAAAAATTTATAGAAACTTGTCATCTTATTTTTTCATGTTCTATCTGCACCCAAGAGATTTCCCACATTTTCCCGGACACCTTGTATACATATAAATATAATTAACACCTAACACATTGAAATTGTAAACAATGTAATTTTACAAAGAAATATCGTGTATTCTTGTTGCTCTAACGTCACTCTTGTCAAAGACCAAACGTACTGCTTACTAGATATTGTTGGTGTAATTCAATGCAGTTGGGACATGTAGCCCACAGAGTAGTTGTTTCCCGCAATGTCATCAGAAGAATCTTCTCTATGAAATTAGACATTGGTATTTTTTACCTGCTTTTTTGGGTTCACAAATCTTTATATTCTCCAAAACATCATTCAAGAGTTTAGGTGGGATCAGCGCGGCTGCTACATCGTTGTTAAAGGCTAAATTCTCATCGACCTATAAAGATAAGAACAGAGTTGCTTCATTAGTTGAAATTTTATATAATATCCTTATTTTCCACTGTTAATTATGGATTTGTTTGTTTATTGGTTATTAACTTATTTTAATTAAAATGATTTGATTCAATTTTTTAACGTTATTTGTTTAGTTTATTCTCTCACGTTGGCCTAGTTTATGTGAACTGTATTAGGGTCACTTTACATATTCCAACGAACTAAACAACTGCACGCAACCATGCTTTCACCATAAAAGTAGATAGGAACGCAGCTAAAACAGACACTATTAAAAAGGGTACAAAACTCTGAAAGAAATACTGCATCTTTTTACTCTTTTTCTTATTCAACCACTTCATTAGCAGAATCATCATCTTAAATTAACCCAAAACCAAATTATTCCGCGAATGAAACGTACGAAATGAAAACTATTATGTAATGTACTGTTCTGCATGAAACGTGTCTTTGGCGGAGATTGTCGTTCGGTTTGTTTCGACTAATAGTTTCGCAGGTGCTTGATCACTGTTTGCACGACTGGAATATGCAAGCTGACTTTACACCTGATATGTCAACAGGATGATAGACGGGCAAAAATTTACGACAAATAGGTTTAAAAAATCAGTTTTCACTACGGAATTCGAAAAAATAGACCCTTGATGTTTCTAAAGGTCAAAAGTGGCTTGTAATCGCAAATTCTAAATTATCTCTCAAACGGCTTGCTTGCGGACCCATATTTACTAAGACTTTTTTGCTTCTAGTATCGTGTACTTAACAGCTTTCAATTTGGCTATTAATTATGATACACCCTGTATATACCACGAATCAAACAAGAAGCTATGTAATATTCTCTTGTAAAAGGTAGATGTTTGGTTGATTCTTAATGTTGTCAGTTACAATTTGCAATTTATGTAAAATAGTTCACATTCAAATTCAACATATTCAACTAAGCTTGCATTTTTGTTAATTATAATTAAATTAAAATTTCAGGCTACTCACCACTCCACTCTCCTCAAGCAGACACCTCATATATGCCTGAAAAAGGAATTTTTGAACGTCCGCTACATTAAGAAAACTGTATTTTGTACCTTTATTTTGGGTTCATCTGTAAATTCTCCATTAATGACTTTTTGAATTGCCTCCTCGCTTGTGCCGGACCTAGGGATACACACTGAATGTAAGGTTTCCACTAATTGTTTAATTTTAGGCCCCAGGTCCCGAAATTTTTAATAAAGTTAAATTTCGAATCCTATTTTTTGTAAATCTTCCTACCGCTATCGCCACAGTGGCTTGAACTTCCGAAACAGCCAACAGGGAGCACACTAGTATGAAAAACAACGAGCTGTCCATTTTAACAAGTATGTATTCGTCTTTATGGAGAGCTTTTTTATATTGAAACTTTGATCGCGATTGCAGAGGCGAACTTATCTTTATTTTAAGTATTTGTTTCGTAAGTGTATATTAAATTTTCATAAATTTCTGGGCTACATTGTTTTTGTTTGTAAATTTATTGGTTTTGTAAACTTATAGGCCCGTTTTAAAAAGGATGAACGAGAAAAAACCAGCTATATCCTAATGTTGGAAACAAAATGAATATTTGGCGATGTTTCAAAATTTTTAAAATAATCCGCATCTGTATAGTATTTATATATAAATACACTTGAATTTATTGCAACCTGGAACACTTTTAATGATCATTTATTTTAATTCTGTGAAACTGAATCGATCTTAATTATGAATATTAATTACTTCATAAAGGGTAGTTTTTTTAAATAATGAGTAAGCGTTAATGATTTGAATATAGTGAAAACGTAAACAACTTTGCATTAAACTTTGAACAAAAAAAACGTAACAGAAAATATAAAGTATATAAATTATACCAAATGAAAGTATTCATGTTTAAATTGTAATTTTAAAAAGAAATAATAAAGAGAATGTTAGTGTCCTATTCAAATTATTTGTTTATGAAATTCTAATTGATATTTCTGTCTATGTAACTACTCTACATTTGGAAAATGAATATCTAAAATGGTTTTAAATTTTGCACTTTGAAATGAAATTTCTCCATAATAAAATACTACTTATGTAGGACTTTGGTCGTAAACATATTTTTAAAAAGCAATTTAATACTCGATACTGTACCAATCACATTTTCTACACTTAGAATTCGAGGTTTTGGGGACTGTTACATAATATTATAAACGAAATAGGATGAAGAGTAATCAATAACACAGCCACACAAAAAAAAAGTTGGCTGTATTTTTCATGCGACATATGTTATCTGTAGTATTTTTGCCTCCTGATCACGAATCCGGTGTCAGAATTGAGCTATCACATCACAGGAATTTCCTAACCTCAAAAAACAGCTAAAAAATTGCAAAAATTCATGAAAAAATGCTAGGAAAAATACAAAATTTTTTTTTTCTATATTCAAATGTTCATTTATACAGGGTGTCCGGATATACCGTTCGAATAATTCTAGGGGTGATTCTACATGTTAAACTATGAAGAAAAGTTCATATGAACATAGGTCCGCAAATGCGTCATAAGGTTGCTATGGCGATTCAAAGATTGCACCGGGATATAGGTTTTATTTTATATCTCTGGAACCGTTTCAGATAGCCATCTGAATTTTGGCATTGATGATCCGGCAATTGATCACTTGCGAACATGTGTACCTACAAACTCTGCACTGTAAACTGGCGACAAGTGAATTTTAAAAAGAGTGAATGGAAACAGAACTTTAACTTAGCTCTTGTCGTATTTTAAAATAATAAAATGTCTTGCTTATTTCCAAATTTCTGATAATAATATAATGTACTGTTATTTCAATCCTGACACATAATTAAGTGTTTATTATTAATTTTAATCAACAATAATTTCGAAAATTAAGTTTCCTTTTCCCAGTTAATATGAGGAATATGACAAACTATTTTGTATTAAACTTTTGAGTAACAAAAAAATAAAATATGCAATTTCAAAGAGAAGTTGCTTTGTACAATGCGAAAAATTTCCTATTTCAATTGTTTCAGTACTTCGTGAATCAAATTTTAGTAGACATGTTTAACTATTTCTATCAGTGTAATTCATTAGCAGATGAAATAAAAAATAAGACATCATCAATATTTATTAAATAAAGACAAATTATAATATCAACTCAAGTTATGGTTAGTTATATATTTCTGCTTCTCGGTAGAACTGCGCCACATTTAGAAGAAAATAAATATCTAGAAAAGATTCAAATTTGCACTTTAATTGGTTAAAATTAACAAAACGTTACTTACATCGGGATTTTGGTCATAACAACATTTCAGTAAAGCAAATATTCTGTCTTCCTCTCTTGCAATACCTACAATTGAAAGTTTTAGTGGATCGATCATGTTTTAAAAAAATTCAGTGTTAAATTAATGACAATTGTTATTAGTATATTATAAAATAGAAACAAACGAAGTTGTCCAACTTTACCTTTAGTTCTTGTAGCACAATTTTTAAAAATATTCACAGCCTCGTCTAAGATTTTAGGTGGAAGTAGCTCGATCAACACTTCCGTGTTAAAGTTGCCTTTCTCGTCGATCTGTAAACGTAAAATAACGTTAAATCTGCTTATTCTCAATTATTTACATTGACATTTGTTAGAATCTACTGTGGAAGTTTAACAAACAATAAATGTGCAGATAATGGACCTAAGCGAACGTTAAATGTAATCTTTTGTACTATAAACATTTTTTCTTGAAATGTTTCACTGCAATTGCAAAATTTAATTTCCAATATTACAAACTTAACAAACTAACTTCTATTGTTTTTCTAGAAACGAATTTTTTAAATTCACAAAGAACCATGCAATTTTATGAGAAATGTTTTCCCTTAAAGTGAAAACTAGCAAAGTTCTCGCGATTCTCGATTCTGATCTAAAACCCTTTTACAAGCGAAAATGAGGGAGACAACGTAAACTCAATTTTTTTTTTATTAGAGTCAAGTAGGAATTTAAAAATCTAGTTACTTACTACTCCAGTCTCTATGAAAAGGCACTTCATGTAAGCCTGAAAAAGAAATTGTATTGTACCTTTCTGCACCAGCAAATTTAATTTTTATGACTTTTTACAAAAACTTTTTTAGTTCACCTTTATTTTTGGTTCATCTGTAAATTCGCCCTGTATTACTTTGGCAATAGAGCTCTCGTCTGTACCAGACATCAATACACATACCGAATGTAAGGTTTCTACTAATTTTAGAATGTTGGGACCAAATTCCTGAAATTGTAAATGAGATTAATTCCGAGGTATTACATATGCGTTTACTTACTGATTGGTCGAGGGTAGCTTGAACCCTAAACGCCCCTAGCACAGAGGCAACTACTATTAGCAATAGCAAATTGTTCATTATGACGAATACCCTTCTGTTTTCACATCTCGCATTTTTATACAGAGAATGTAGTTGTAGTTACAGAGACGGATTAAATTTTTTACATTTTAATATTCGTATACAGGGTGAGTCAGTTTTTTGTGGTAGGATTTTAACAGTTGATAAAGATTCATTTTTTAATAAGAAAAGTTCATATAAACGTAGGTCTTAGAACGCTTCGTTTGTGAGATATAGGGTGTTGAAAACAAACTTTTTTAAAGTATTTTTCTTAATATCTCTAAAAGACCAACATATATTGAACTGAAATTTGGTATTAATAACACATTAGTTATGGTGAATAAAATAAAGATATCTGTTATCCATTTCACCCACCAGTGACGTGGCTAAAGTGGGTTACTGCCCCCTTTAAAAAAATAATTCGTACGCCCGTGAATTTTTCTGGAAAATAACATCATTTCTAAATTGTTTAATCAATTCTGAACAAAACAGATATCTTTCAATTTTTTATAAAATTAACGGTATTTGGTTAAATTCATTTGGAATGAAACTGTTTCAACGATATTGGTACCTAATACATTTGTGAATTAATAAGAAAAATATGATGTGCACTGAAAATCAACAAAAACGATTGAATGAATAATAACAGTTGATAAAGAATCATTTTTTAATAAGAAAAGTTCCTATAAACAGGTGTTAAAACGCTTCGTTTGTGAGATATATAATAGGGATATAAAACCAACAGATATTAAACTGAAATTTGGCATGAAAAAACAAACGCAGAACTTAAAAAAAGAACTAATTGACACACACGTTACACAATGTTTGCATTCTTATGTCAACGTTACGACATTTAATCGTTTTTGTTGATTTTCAGAGTACATCATATTTTTCTTATTACAAATTTATTACATTTATTATCTTGCAGTTCAATAACCAGAGCATACATTTCTGGCCAATGTGTTTGTACGATCCGAATTCAAGCGTATTCGTCACCTTTCTACACCTTGCTTATTTAGAGGGAAAACAATCTTAAAGTCTATGGTAAGGATTTCACACACATAATAGCAAAAGCATTTTCTTCCGAATTCCTTGATCAAATTGCAACTTTAATCACATACTTGCATTGCATAGTATTCCTTTACTTGTGACATAACTATATTTCGTAAAAATTTACAGTAATAAACATTTTTTCAATTCAGAACATTGTTAAAAAATTGTTAGGAGTGCAGCACTCGCGATATAGCGTCCAATGCGCTCAGGATTTCCTGTACTTGTAGCGAAGGTCATAAAGGATATCTATATTTCTATCAAACCAGTGCGTGCCTTTCCGAGCATGTATCCTATGTTATAGGCGAATATTAGGGCGTGGTACAAGCCCCTAGGGCGAACACCCAACCACAATGGAGAATGACCAATTACCGTGGCGTCCTCTTCCCGACGCATCTATTGTGGATGAGAGAGATGTCCCGAGAATTTCCGTTTATTTTTTTGCAAGCGAGCAGGGAGCGAGGGACCCAGCACCGAGAATTTCAGTATAAACAGAAGTGCGGAAGAAATAAACAGCTACAGAATATTTAGGGACACAATAAATGATTATAAGCACTGATGTTTTATTGGGATGCTGCCTTGTTAAATGTTTATTACTAATCATAAATCAACTGTTTCAACCCTGTCAACCAATATCCTCATTTGTTTTAATCATATGCCGTTTATTTTTAATCATATGTCTTTATATTACGATATGTTTTCCTAGTGCTAGAAATAACAAATTTTAATAAATTTAAATCACGCACTGTATTATACTTTGAACGAATGCAAATGTTAACTTATGTCCATGAATATTCCCAATATTCCCAATAGAGACATTCCTGGATTCAAAATAAACAGATTTAACTAAATAGTATCAGAACTGACAAAAAAAATATTTTTTTCTAGTCACTACGCCTAGTAAGATTTTATTAAAATTTGGTACATTGATACCTCCATGTACATGTCAATTTATGAGAGTAGAAGTAATTGAATTCGTAAAACTATGAAAAATACCCCCTTTGAATTAATTTGCTCGTAATTTTGTCGAGAGTGACGCTATATTTTATTTTTGTCTTGTAAAATTTTTGTATTTGTAATAGTTTTGGATTAATTATTTTTTTTATTAAATCATTTCTAAACCGTTTTTTTATCAAACCTGAAATAATCACGTCATTTCAAAAGTAATTTATTCGGCAACAGAAACAAAATAACTTAGAGCTGTCATAATTGGGGCCGCGCACCAAAGGCATCAACATAAAATAAAGTTAACAATGATTATAAGATTTATGTCATTGTATCATTGTGAAACACGTAAATTGTTTTACGCATCGTTGCCACCCGTTCCACAATCTGGATAGGATCCGTTAGAATGTCCAAAACAAAGAAATCTAAATAAAAAATTTAGAAAAATTTGGAACGAATACACTGAAGATGAATTTTTCGAGACAAAACGTCTGAATCTGGTTCTGGCTGAGGCAGTACAGTATTGGGGGTCATGAAGACTTGCCAAAAATGTAATAGAATTTCTAGGGTCGTATTTAAAAAAATGAAGTTGATGATGGTCCTGGAAAGACGAAACGTTTCACACAAAAATTGATTATGCCATTCGATAGAGGGCAAAAAGTGGCCATGAAAAAGTGTTCTCCTTTTTTCAATATCATCTCAAACAAGGCTAAAATTAAACAAAAAAACTAATCATGTTAGCCTTGATTTTTTAGAGGCACAATGTTGGTCCCCTGATTATGCAACTTTGCCCCCATTTAAGCTACTTCGTAGCTTCGAATAATTTCAAATATTTCGAATTTTCACCACCAAGAACGGCGGTGATAGCATTTTTAACATTAAGGCGATGTTTCGCATTATATTAGCTATGTCCTGTCCAAATTTTGTTGTTACAACCCTCTTGATTTCGACAATGCAATACCTATGTATGTGTTCAGCCACGAAAATTGAATAATTTCAAATATTTCGAATTTTCACCACCAAGAACGACGGTGACAGCATTTTTAACATTAAGGCGATATTTCGCATTGTATTAGCTATGTCCTGTCCAAATTTAGTTCGTACAACTCTCTTGTTTTCGACAATATACCTATGTAGATCGCATATCACGTATGGTTCTAGCCTTGTTTCAGCGAAACTTATTCGCGGCGGTGATAAAATACTTTAATCTGAAGAGACGACCCTTCGACATCCACTGATATAATATTTGCATAATTAAATAATCTACTTCCAAACTGGTTCGACATGGTAATTTTCACTCGGGATTGTATTTATTGCAGTAGGAATGAAATGTTTTATTATATACTATCAAATGGTAGGTTACCTGCAATCAGTATGAAGATTAAATCAAACATAAATTGAGTCCTCTAGTTTTCACCAGTTTTTTTTTTATACGTGTGTAGTGCACTGTTTAATACTTATTACTTTGTTTACTAATATTTATTTTAAACGTTTTTATACATTTACAAGTATGTATATACTAAATTACACTGTTGTTTATATTTTTTTAGTAAAAGTAAGTTAGTTATTTAATTTTCCCTATATAGTCCAGTCATTGAAGGCGAAAATAATGTAAACACTCCCAATTTTTTCGGATAGCATGGATTTTCCTGAAAATTTGCATACAAGCTCATCTGACCCCCCACTTCATAAGTTATATTGTCTAGATGTGTGCTTTTTTCTATTTGGGGGTGAAAACTAGCCTTGTACGAAAAAAATGCGAAAATCGCAGATTTACGTATTTTTAAGATTCAATTCATGTTCAAATATGTTGGATAAACTTTATTTCATGTTTTTTAATATAATTTATGAAATTTAATTAGTTTTCCACTCTTAAAAATCCTTAAAAACCAACCTTTCATGGCCAAAAAAATTGAAAAAAAAGTTTTAAACAGTTTAAAATATTCTTTTGGTGCATTCACAATGTATTGCATTTCTTTTGTTATTCATTAGAAAGCTTACGACTCATTACAAAGTACCCTTAAAAACCATCCCTTGTAATAAAATAAAATATTATTGAAAGCTTGAGATGTTTTAATGGTATGCAGATGTTGAATTATAAACTTTTTATTGGTTTTCAAATGATCTATGATACATTGCAACTTTTCAGCCACCCAAAAAACCCTACCCTATAGGATGACCTACCCCTCATAAAAACCCTACCCTATACAGAAAAATTTCCTAAAAATTATATGTATGATGATATAATAATTTTTTTTTAATTTTATTGAATTTATTCTTAATATTTTTTTATTAAATTTATATCAAATAAAAAAAATTCTATATACATTATAAATGGATAAGTGTGTGTATGTATATTATTAAAATACTTACTGAAATCAGTTCACAAGTGCTCCAAAATACACAAAGATGATGATAATTTACCTGTACCGAAAATTTTACCGAAAAAATGCGATGANTTTGATACAAGCTTTTGAAAATCGTTTTGTAGACTTCAAAAAAGTTAAACCGCTATTGGACATTTTCAGCAATCCTTTCAACATTTCACCCGAAAATGCGCCGGAATTAATGCAGCTGGAATTAATAGACATGCAAAATGATGATAATTTAAGAAACAAATTTAATGAAGGTAATTTACTCAACTTCTACCGTTGCGTTGATAAAAACGCTTATAAAGAGTTGCGAATAAATGCATTGAAATGCGCAAGCTTATTTGGATCGACGTATATTTGTGAACAAACGTTTTCAGTGATGAAACTTAACAAAACGAAAAACCGAAACCGTCTGGCAAATGAAAATTTGGAAGCAATTATACGTGTGGCTACAAGTAATGTGGAGCCAAATATAAGAAAACTTGTTAGTTCAATGCAATGTCATGCATCAAAATAATAAAACATGAAATATTACATTGTAATGATTACAAAATTATTACAACAAACATTTTTGAAGGTTATTTTATTTTTATCATTGTATTTCATACTATTTAAAAATAAAAAATTTTGTGTTAATAAATATTGTTTGTACTGGCCCGTCCTTGGCTTATATTTTTCCCGAGTGGCCCCTGTTCCCTATAAGTCTGTGCATCCCTGATTTAAGGGAAGTGATCAAAATGCCGCACTGCAGGGGGTTTATCTTTTTCTTGGAATAGTAAATTCAATAGGCCCAGAATATTGAAAACATGGGAGCATCATTGAAATTGACACCAACGTTAAACATGTAATTCACGGATTTTCTTTGAAAAATAAACTTTAAACTGTAATTGCGGAAGAGGAAGACTTGATTCTACCGAAAGTTTTACTACGTACAGTTTGACCAAACTGATCTGTCCGCGAGATGCGCAGATCAAGAAGAATCCCTAGCTACAGTTCAAATTTCACGTCAATTCATTCCATCCGAAAAAATTGGTAGCCAAAATGCTTCAGTGATTGGACTATTTGCGGATTTACATATGTAGAAAAACTAATATAAATAGAAACCAGTTTTGTCAGATCGGCAGTTCAAATCCTGATCTTAATGGTTAAAATTTGGTATCTAGAGTGCATAATACTTCTAGTACCATCGTGGCCTGATTTACTATTTGATGAGAATAAGCCAATAATAAAACAGCATCAATATTTATTATATACATGTTTTATATAAAAAAATAATAAATACGTCTCTTAACGTTAAATATAAATATCCTTTTAATTACAAAAATAAATTTATATAAACACGCACTCTCCACCTAGTCACACACCTCTTGCAGCGCTCGAAATATTTACACTAAGAAGTCTTTATCACCAGTACTACAACCCCGTTCGGTCGGTTGACTTCACGCACCTCCCTTTGTAGCAGATCTCAGTTTCGTGGGAGACTTCCGTCGACGTGGACGTCCTCACCGCCTTCATCTCCCACGGCTCCACTTCAAAGGTTCTAGTTATCTGGGTACTCGGAGAAGTTGTCTCTACTTTCTCTGTAACCTCTTCCGCGGCTTCAGTGGAAGTTTTCACAGGTTCCTCCGAAGACGCCTCGGTTGTTGGAACCTCGGTTATTTCCTCTGGGAAAGTGGGAGACGCCAAGGTGGTAGTAACGGGAGGAACCGTTTCCGTTTCAGTTGAGGAAATAGTCGTCGTCGGTGGCTCATTAATATCCTCTGACTTACCAGAGACGCCAAACATTTCGTAAATAGTGTCGAAGATACTGTTTTCTTTAGTCGTGGCACTCGTCGTGCTTATATCGGATTCAGTACTATTACCACTTGCTTCAGGTGGTACCGTGGATGAAGCTTCAACGGCTATGTTCTCAGTCTCAGCGTTCATGTCATAAACTTCGTAGTATTTGGTTGTATGGCTTTCAGGCCCTTCAGTTGAAGGTAGTTTGTGGCTCTCATAATCGTACGCGTCCGAGTTCTGCTCCAAAACAGGATTGTAGTTGTTGTACAACTCATGGTGACCTAAGCTTGGATACTCCTCGCTCTTTGAATTATCGTACAACTTCGATTTTCCCTTAACCTTAACGATGTCCCCAAACGTATTTACGACAGAGTAGTAGCTCTGAGATTCGGCTGCTTCATACGGATCTACCGGTCTGTGTCTGACAAGCTTCCACGCACCTCGTCTTCTACCCTTCCCCTTAGGCTTCTCAGTCTTATTTATTTCTTCGAATAGCTCTTCCATTGCCTTGGCGTCTTCCTTGTAAGCCTCGTCGCTGCTCTGCGTCGTTTGCTCATCGCTTGCCGTGACAGGAAGGGCGATGGGTTGATCGGTAGCTTCATTTCCTTCGACAGGTTGTTTATTAGTTGTTGCTTTGTTTGGTTTTGTCTGTTCGGTGTCTCTGGATTCATCGGGACTCACAGTCTCCCCTTCTATATGGATGTCGTCGTCTATCTGGTTAGCTGGAGCAAATTCTGCAAAAGGAGACAAATACATAATACTCTTTCTAATTTGGTTATACAAGATGTGACATGTGAATGTGCGTGAATAAAATCAACAATGACCTTTTTGCTAGAAAATAAAGTACTAATATTACTTTGAATGGTTTTATGATATGTTGTTTTAGTCAACATATTTTTTTATGTCAATGCTGACGAAGCCGCTTTTATGTAAAATGTTTATACACTCAAGAGTGTGAATAAATTTAGCACCCCGAACAGATTTGCAATAATATTTACCTTCATTATTAACAGCGTCTCCAGTAGCTTCCGCCCACTTCTCCGGCCTGGGCAGGATCTTTGGCTGGAACAGCGACGGGTTGGGCACCTGGTCAGCCTCTTCATCCTCACCTGGGTCGATGCTGATTTGGAAGGAAGGTACAATGGTTGTGGTGGTGGTACTGATACCCGGGGCTAAAGCAGGGGCTTGCTTATTCTGGAAAAACGAAGGTGGGTAGTTTCCTCCTTCAACATCAGCTTCTTTGTCTTCCTTGTGACGAAGATTTTCAGGAGCTCTGTAATGTGCAGTGCCTCTTCCTCTCGACCTGATCACATTGGACCGTCTCGTCGCTTGTTGTGTCCTGTAAGTGCTGACTTCGTTGTCGGATTGTTTAGCGTTGGTCTTCCTTTGAGGGTTTCTAACCCTTCCTCTGACTCTAGGTCTTGCAGTTTCCGCTTCAATCCGAATTGGTTCTGTGGTGTCTGTCGCGGTGACGATATCCTCGTAGTTCTGCGTCGTTGATCTGTACTTGGGTCTTATCTCTCCTAAGAAGTGGACTGTAGTGGCATCGGCAGATCCGCTGTTAAAATCCAACCGCACGTCTTCCACTGGTTGAGCATTCTGAGGTATTTGGTAGGACTGGACGCGTACATTTGGACTCTTATTCGTGTTACCGAATGCTTGGTATGCGCTGACGCGCACGTCGCTGTTACTTACTTGGTTTGGGTTTTGGTATATTGTTATGGGTTGTTGCGTCGCGGCAGGGACTTGGATGTTGTATATTTGGTTGAAATTCGGTTGCCTGATGAACCCGAAGAATTCGTCCTCTGCGACCGACTTGGAAGCGGGTTTCTGCGTCGTCGTGGTGGTACTAACAGTGGTTGTTCTTTTCGGTGCTATTCTTATCACAGGTTTTCCTGTAGTTCTAACTGCGGGGTTCTCCGTTGTTGTTGTTGTCGTTGCCACTCGAGGCCTACTGCGACCTCTTCCTCGTACACGATTTGTTTGTCGTGGGGGACTATCTTCGTTGTTATTTCTATGATTGTTATTATTATTTGTGTTATGCAGTACTCCGCCAGCTTGTAAATGAATTTGGGCCTCCTCGACAGGCGTGGTTGTGACGATGGGATGTTTTTTTGTTTTGACTGGAGCAGGATGCGTTATCTGGACATCCATAAGGGGATTCTGTGTTGTAGCAGTGTTGTCGTACTGGAAATGAAGTCGAGGGCTTTCAGTGACAGTAACTGGTACCTGAGGGCTATAATATTGGGGATAATCAGTGATGGGTGGGTCTTCTGATTGGATTATTATTTTCTGGTCTTCTACTGTGTGTTCAAACTTTATATACGATTGGGGACTCGTCGGTTCTGTTTGGATTTCCAAAGGAATTTCTGATGTTTGTTCTTTGTACGACCTGAAAAAACCATTGGTGTTATGAAATGCTATTAATACAGGACTACTTCTTTAACAGCATATAGAACTGAACAAGAGCAGACACTTTTTGAAGTAACTTTTCCAACGAATTAAAAAATAAGGGAAACAATCGTCTAAAATTCAATTCGTTTACTGATGACAAAAATTAAAACAGTGAATCACGCTTTATTATATCAATTTAAGGCAGGGATGCACATACCGCGGCCCACTGTCGATGTTTATGCGGCCCGCCAACGAATTTTAAAAGTATTCTACTCGCCGCGCTCCGGTCCAAGCATATTATTACGAGACTAGAAATCTGTCGCATCAACTAGATTACAGATTCGCGAAACACGTCGATCCCCGAACAAAATGGATGGTTCTCGATGTTTGGTAACTCGTATAAATACGACGCACCGCCGGCTACCGGGGCAGTTAAGTTTTGACTACGGATAAGCGAACGTTATACTGTTTGAGAACTGTAATCTGTGACGAGTAAATATTTCGTCGTTCGAACTTGGCTTTTACCGACTGTAACATATAATATTAATTTTGATATGGATAAACCAGGCCCCAGTAAGAAACGTAGTCGTAAGGTTGAAGATGAAAATCGACAGTTTCATGATATTTGGACCGAAAAATACTTTTTTATTTCATCGCATAACAAAATTGTCTGTTTAATATGCAAGAGTAGTGTTTCTATTCCGAAGGAATATAATGTGAAAAGGCACTATGAAACCCAGCATCCAACTTTTACCAAATTAACTGGCGAAAATCGAACGCAAAGAATTTCCACTTTACAACGGGAACTAATAGGCCAGCAATCTATGTTTACAAAACCAATTCAAGATGCTGAAACAGCCACTGAAGTTAGCTTTGAAATATCTCGAATAATAGCGAAAACTTGTCGGCCTTTTAAAGATGGTGAGTTTGTTAAGCAATGTTTGGATATCGCCGCAAAAAAAATTTGTCCGGAAAATGTAAAGAAGTTTGAAAAAATTCAGTTAAATCGGATGACTGTTCAAAGAAGAATTACCGCATTAGCAGATAATATAGAAGAGCAATTAGCTACGAAATCGAGAAGTTTTGAGTATTTTTCTATAGCGCTCGACGAATCTACAGATATAAGTTCAACTGCTCAACTATTAATATTTTTACGAGGTGTAACGCAAAATTTTGAAGTGAGTGAAGAACTGATTGGTATGAGTTCTTTGACAAGTCAAACCAGGGGAAGTGACATGCTCAAAGCTCTTCTAGAAAAATGTTCTATAATGGATTTGGATTTAACGAAAATATCTGGAATTACAACTGACGGAGCACCTTCAATGGTTGGAAGTACATCTGGGATAGTAACTCTGTTAAAAACATATTTACAAACTAAAAACATAAATACCAAGGAATTAATGCAGTTTCATTGTATTATACATCAAGAGGCCCTCTGTTCAAAATTATTGGGATTTGAAAATGTTATGAAAGTTGTAGTACCTACCGTAAACTTTATAAAATCACGAGGTCTCAATCACCGACAATTCAAACAATTTCTCGAGGATATTGAAAGCGAATATGGTGATCTCCTGTTTTACACTGAAGTAAGGTGGCTAAGTCGTGGGTTGACACTACAGCGATTTCTTAACTTGATTGAAGAAATCCAACTATTTCTGGCGGAAAAGAAAAACGACGTCCCCGAACTCGACAACCCTGATTGGCTGTGTGACTTAGCGTTTCTTGTAGACATCACAAATCACTTGAATGTCTTAAATACGCGACTCCAAGGCAAAGATCAATTGATTTCGCAGCTATACTCTCATGTTTCGTCCTTTCAATGCAAATTGAGTCTTTTCAGGACACAAATCAATTCAGCCAATTACGGCCATTTTCCGAACTACAAAAAAATTATGGAGAAGTTCAATAAAACTGACGTCAATTTCGCTCATGTTGAAAAAATTGATATTTTGATACAAGCTTTTGAAAATCGTTTTGTAGACTTCAAAAAAGTTAAACCGCTATTGGACATTTTCAGCAATCCTTTCAACATTTCACCCGAAAATGCGCCGGAATTAATGCAGCTGGAATTAATAGACATGCAAAATGATGATAATTTAAGAAACAAATTTAATGAAGGTAATTTACTCAACTTCTACCGTTGCGTTGATAAAAACGCTTATAAAGAGTTGCGAATAAATGCATTGAAATGCGCAAGCTTATTTGGATCGACGTATATTTGTGAACAAACGTTTTCAGTGATGAAACTTAACAAAACGAAAAACCGAAACCGTCTGGCAAATGAAAATTTGGAAGCAATTATACGTGTGGCTACAAGTAATGTGGAGCCAAATATAAAAAAACTTGTTAGTTCAATGCAATGTCATGCATCAAAATAATAAAACATGAAATATTACATTGTAATGATTACATAATTATTACAACAAACATTTTTGAAGGTTATTTTATTTTTATCATTGTATTTCATACTATTTAAAAATAAAAAATTTTGTGTTAATAAATATTGTTTGTACTGGCCCGTCCTTGGCTTATATTTTTCCCGAGTGGCCCCTGTTCCCTATAAGTCTGTGCATCCCTGATTTAAGGGAAGTGATCAAAATGCCGCACTGCAGGGGGTTTATCTTTTTCTTGGAATAGTAAATTCAATAGGCCCAGAATATTGAAAACATGGGAGCATCATTGAAATTGACACCAACGTTAAACATGTAATTCACGGATTTTCTTTGAAAAATAAACTTTAAACTGTAATTGCGGAAGAGGAAGACTTGATTCTACCGAAAGTTTTACTACGTACAGTTTGACCAAACTGATCTGTCCGCGAGATGCGCAGATCAAGAAGAATGTCTAAAACTCTAAAATAATGACTACTACTACCAACCTGACTTCGTTTTCTGTGCTGGAAATCCTCTCCGTCGCTACAGGTTGACTGGGTCGTGCTCTGGATCTAAACCGTTGCCTCGTGTTCACCTTCTGTACATCTTCTCTCGAAGAGTACTGGGTGCTTGGAACCTCCGTAGTTGTCCTTGACGAATGTACCGGCCTTCTTCTGTTCGCGGTCCTTCTCGGCACGGAGGTAGTAGTTGAAGAGGCGGTAGAGAACCTGCTGCCCCCTCTTTGTCTCCCTCTGCCTCTGGTAGCAGGGCTCGATCTTGGTTGCTCTGTTGTGGTACTGGTAGTGGTCGTGGTGGTAGTCGTCGGGAATTGTTCTGGAGGAGGTTGATGAAGAAGAGTGGACTGGATGAGGTCTGTTGTAGGAGGCAATGTGTTAGGCACAACCAGTGTCCTGATTGACTGGTCCTGCAAATTGCTGGTATATCCTGGGATATCTGGTTGTTTGTTTTCAAAATTGTACGCATTTTGTGACACTTTCTGTCCTCTGTTTTGCACTAATGGTTGGATAACTGGGTTTTCATTGTATTGTGGCACGTAGGCCACCTCGGTTAGAGGACTTTGTATGTAGGTTGGTGGATGAGACACCTCTTCATTTTTCGCGAGGTTGATTGGCTGGTTTTGATTTAGAACTTGCTGGTTCGATGGGTTGACATTTAAGTTATAAACGTTGGCGGGAATGTCTTTAACAATAGTTTTTACATTATTGTGTTGTCTCACACTTGTCGTGGTAGTTCTAAGTCTATACACGTTTGCTGGGACGTCAGCCACCTCAACCTGCGTTGGTATCTTGTATTCTTCATATTTAACTTGTTTAGGGGCTTCTGTAATCTGGGGTGTTGTAGCCGGTTTTACAGAAAATTCTTCCAGTACGGTATAGGACTCTTTTCCGATAGGACTTGCGGTAGTTGTCGTTCTAGCGGATTGTCTTGAAGGTTTACCTCTCCTGCGGCTCTTAGGCGATGGCCTTGGAGTAGTAGAAATCTCTTCGAAAGTGTCTCTTAAGATGCTAGCCGGTGTACTGCTGTAGCGCTCGAACTCGGAACTGTAGTCATATTTCGGTTTGCCAACGTCCACATCAAATATTGAACTGTAATCGTACCTGCCCTTCACTTTTGATTTATCAACATCAAACTTGCCGCTATAGTCGAAGTCCTTTGCTGGCTTTTCATAGAGGAAATGGTAATCGAAATCGTAAGGGCTCTTGGCGTTTTTTTCTGGATCGCTGTCTAAAAGTTGACTGTTGATCTGGTGTAATTCGTATTGGTCAATCGCTAAGTTGAAAGGTTTTTGTTTTTTGTTGGCACCATCAAACGTATAATGGGGCGATTCTTCTGTTCTGGACGTAGTGGTGGTCTTGGGAGTTATCTTAATCTCGTGTGTGTTGTCGAAAGGAGATGAAACAAATGAAGTAGGTCCCTCATAATTTGAAGAACTTGTCCTAGTTGGAGTACCGGTGTTGTGTACGCTACCAACGGAAGATGGAGTTTGCTGTCCATTCCTTGAAGGAATAAGGAAGGAATTTGAATTTCCACTAGTATATGTCTGTGGACTACTATACTCTTCCTTTTTGCCATCGACGGATTGACTGTATTGAGTAACACCAACTGTACCTTGTACTGGTATCTGATAAGAATTAACAGTTTCATGATTTGTATTACCAACTGAGGAGGGAGTTCTTGACGGTACCTGATAATTATGTATGTTTTGATTAAAAGTTTGTTTATTCGCGTCAGCTTCTGGAGCCTTCTGTGGAATATTGTAAGGATTGCTATTTATATCAGGCACAGATTGCTGCAAAGGTGCTTGGGGATTTGTATTTGCATTTGCGGTGTTGGTTTGGCTGTAAGCAACAGGTTGTGGATTTTTCAAGGAGTTAACAGTGTCTGGTACTTGAAGCTGACTTCTTGGAGGTATGTTGTTTATATTTAGTTGTGGTTGCTGCAGTTGCTGTTGGGGGGGTTTGGTGGGAACAGCAAATTGATTGACGTTGTCATTGACATTGAACTGTAAATAATTGGGAGCTTGGAAAGGCGTGGTACTGAAATATGTCTGTTGACTGGGGTCAAAGATTTGCGAATTCGCATTAGTTACTTCTGGCTTCGCTGATTCATAGTTACTGATTTGATTGGGATATGTCTGAGTAGGTCTAGGAGCTGAACGCTTGTGGGAATCTTCCTTGTTTGAGACCACTACAGACCCGACATGTGGCGATGGCAGAGGGATTTTGGAATAACCAGCTGGAGTTTTGTAGCTCAGTGGTGCTACGAAGAAGGGAAGATTTTCTATTTTCCTCTCGATTCTGTTGCCTTCTAGTTTGTTGATGTAAGGCAAGGGGAATCTGGTGTAGCTTGAAGGCAAGTTCAATGTAGAAGGCCCAATGAACACATGAGGTGAACTGGGAGTAATGGCGTCTTGCACGGCGATAGTCTTCGCGTTTCTCAACGCAGTCAATATATCGTCTACGCTGGCCTCGTTGTTACTTTCCAAGTACACCGCTAAAGGTGGTTGATGAGGCTTTCGTTTAGTTGGTTTCGGGGTTGTGGTCGTCGTAGTCGTCGTCGTCGTAGTGGTTTGAACACCAACAGGGCGTCCTAGATGGATCTGTTGTTGCAATCTATGCGCCTGAACCGTCTGCTGGATTAAATCATGCTCGATATCGTCTATGAGATGCTGCTTGTTCTGGGTGAAGATTTGATTGTCCTGTCTAGGGGCGTCGACCTGGTGGAATATCTTTTCAGAGTCCTGGGTGACTTGTGTAGTGGGCTGAACATTTTGCAAGTTCTCCAATGGGACGTAAAGTAGTTGAACAGCCTGTTTTTCATCCTGAATCGGTGTTGCCGCTACTGATACGGGAGGAGCAATGTTAGGATTAAGAAATTCTCTTTGCAACTCGTCGTTAATAATACTAGGATTTAAGGACTGATAGAAAGTATTGTTAATGGGCAGATTATACTGCTGGTATAAATTAGGGGCATCAACAGCTGGAGCCTGTTGCCTGGTTAAAACCGGTTTCTCCAGGAAACCTCCTTGATTCAAAGGGGGAGGTTGCTCGTAAGCAGCGGGCTCTTGGTACCTGAAATTCTCTACATTGTGATTGTGTCTATCGTTCGACGGCTTCAAGGAACCCTCCCTCAGGTACTGCTGCTGGTGCGGTCTCCTTTTCCGTTGATTGTATTCCTCTTCGGGGAAAAACTTTTGGGCGGGCGTGTCTAGGTTTAAGACGCGACCTACGGCCTTGTTCGAGGCTTCTTCTCCAGAAGAAGGCGTTATAGGTACCCACTCGTTTGTGTCGTAAGATCTCTCGTTTTGAGATTCTACAATTATTACGGAGTATAATAATTTAGATAGGAGGATCCATTGCAGCTTCCTCAGAATCTGAAACGGAAAAGTACGTTAATTATAATTATTATTGTTGAAAACACTTATTTCTACATCCATAATAAAAATTTAATATATTAAATAATCACGTCCCTGAAAATTTTCAGGAATCAAATCTAATTAGTCCAGTTGATGTTAGTTGTTTTAATAAACCGCAAAAATTTCATTCAAATCGGCTACAGCGGTTTTTTAAAAAACTCAATTTTTGAAAAACAAATAACCTGTATCTCAGAAACGAAGCACTTGCGGACCCATGTTCATATGAACTTTTTTACATATTTTGCTGAGCGGAATCTCCCCTAGACTTTTGCCACTTCAACTCTGAAACACCCGGTATAAATTCAACTCGAGAATAACCCTGCAGATGTATTTACACAGTTGGTTCTATGTTCCACGAGATCTGGTACAAATGGAATGTCTTTTAGAATGTACTGCAACGCCTTAGACTGAAACTATTAGGATAAACTAGGGCAAAAACTTCGTGTAAGTGGCCTGTGATACTTTCTCTTTTATATACCCACTGCCGAGTTTGTAGTTTAGTAAAATAACTTTTCGATGACTGAGTTTAGTAAAACACAAAATGTTAATTTCCTTTGAAACTGCTATATTCAGCATTAGCACTAACTTTTTTCACTTTTCTACGATAATAATTAGTCACTTGTGGACCACTTTAAATCGACCTCTGAATCATTTAACATCCTGTAGGTTTTCCTTTCAGTGATCTGACTGTTGCGTGGGATGCAGTCACTTTCTTTTTGATTTAATTTTACGGTCGGAAACAAGTTCACTGATCTTTTATTCATTAGCAAAAAAAGCAAGGAGTGGCCCACCGAATTACTTTCCTGTTGAATATTTTCACTGTTGTATAATTTGCGGCTGGTGTAGAAAAGAAAAAACCATCGTGCAAAGAAATCGAGATGAGCCCTGTTTCTCAACACGAAGGCTTGTTATGTAATTTTTTTGTTAATTGTGTTCATGGGTTGCGATCTCCTTTCACTTTTTTAAAGATCAGTTTCAAAAAGGAAACTGTAGTAATTAAATCAGCCTTTCCAAACGTACTTTATGGGTTTTCTGTATTTCCTTTCGATGTTTTAATTATGTCTCATCTTGGTCGTGACGGCAATGGAAGAAAGGTCAAACGACTGAATGCGGACGTGCTGTCAAATAACACACCTCTTCATTTGTTTAATGTCTCATTCACCGCCACCTTGATTAGAAAATAAAAATTATTTGAAATGTTCTACGTTACTAAACTAGTTTTATTTAAATAAATTCGTATGCAACAAAACGTCTATTAAACTAATTTTAAGCAATTTTCCGTGCGGGCAGAAGCGATATCGCAACGCCACCATATTATTTAGAGTAGCCGCATCCATGTGTGACAAAAACACGTACTCGCTTTTAGTGAAAGTAAATCATTTTACGATCACTCTCGATACGGAATGCAACGAAAAAAAAGGGGGGCAGGCAACCGTGGAATTGTTGCTCACAGAAATGCAATCCGCATTTCATGAGTATAGGATTTAGAGCGAGTTACGCAATTCGTACGGCTTTTTCTTGGTTTCGGATCCTTTGAAGTTGTATTTAAAACAATGAAGGGATGATCCACTAATATTGTCCATGGCTAGCTATAGTCTTGGATTAAATATTGCTGTCAAATGAAACATAGGAGAATTAATATGTTTTAAGGTTCAGATAATCCGAATAACAAAATCTCTGTTATGAACTAATCGTTGAAGTTAGACGGGCTTGAATTAGTAGCGGTAGACACTAAATGTATGGAAAATATATGCTTATGTTTATAGGGAGTATAAATGTTCGGACGTGAGCGCTGGGCGCAGGGGTGGTCAGATCGGAGTGACTTTGGTGTCACTGTGTGAGTTGGACATTTCTGCTTCGAATAGAAGTGATTCCGACATTTCACTGTTAGGAAGAAGGCTAACAATTGGGAGGAAAATGATGAACCTTTACATTTTGGCTGTTGTTATAAGACTTTGTCGACTTGTGTGTAGGGGCGGGAAATCAACAATTGGTCTTTAAAAAATATAAAATTTGTAACAATAATTCAGTAGAATGTTGTTGGATTGGTTGCAGCGGTTTCGGTGGTTTTCAGAGTAGTTTTGAGGTTCTGGAGTGTGGACATACATACTGAGTGCTATCTTTTTAGTCCAGACGGTATATGTTTCAAAGAGTCCATATTTGGGTGAATCGTATATCCACAGAGATTTTTGGCTTTTTGGCTTTAAAATATCACTAGAAATGCAAATTTTTTTATGCGCATAAAAAAAACGTAGGCTTAACTTTTGGCGGCACAATATGTTAAAAAAATTCGAAAAATGTCATATTTTTTTTTCCTATTTTTATGTATCTTTTCAAGAGTTAATTTTAAGCGAAAATGGAAGAGGAAAAGAATATTTGTAATTAAATTTTACAAAATATGACTAGTTACAAATCGAATGAATCATGATTATTATTATAAAAATCGAAAAAATCGCCAAAATAGGGGTTAAAAAACATTACTTTTTAGGGAATTTCTTTGGGGTCTTTAAGTTGGGTATAGGACCTTCATACTTGGCTCAAGAAAAGTTCATGTTACGTAGAATCATCACACCAAATTTCATCAAAATCGGTTCTATAGATTTTGTCATAATAATTTGGCAATCCAGATTTTGAAAAAAAATTTGCAAATTTTCAAAATTTCGCACAGCAAAAACCAAGGCCCTTAGATACTTGAAAATTCAATCACATAAAGAAGGGCTCTCAAGCTTTCAAACGCTTTTTGAAAAATTCGAATCCGTCAATTAGGAGAGCTCTGGCGCTTGTTTAAACATTGGTCGAATTTTTGTACTATAATTTTGTATTTTTGTAATATAATGAGTTAATTTCTCATTTGTTAATATTTTAAACAGTAAATAATATTTAAATTATACTTTAATCACAAAAGAAATCATGACTAAATTAATAATTAATTAATTAATTAATTACTAACTTTCGACATATTTTGAAAATAATTGTTGTTTAAACAATTTTAGAATATTTAAATAAATTTGTTTTTGATCTTTGATAAACAGTATATAAGTTACTTTACCTTTGATACAATAAAAACATAAAGTTGATAATAATTAAAGGAAGTTTAAAGATAAATAATTATCGGACTGTTGAAAGACCAATCAAATTATTAACGATAGGCATTTGAAAATACGCTAATTGTTTTTTTTTAAATCGCGAGACATCGATTTAAAAAAAATCATCAAAATCGGACCTCTAGAAGCTGATATATTAAAAATTGTTAATCGATCTGTTTTTTTTTTAAAGAAGCTTCTTTCCAATAACTTTTAAAACCTGCTTTAAAAAATTGAATGTTATTCTAATTGTTTATAAGTACAAAAATTCGACCAATGTTTAAATAAGCGCCAAAGCTCTCCTAATTGACGGATTCGAATTTTTCAAAAAGCGTTTGAAAGCTTGAGAGCCCTTCTATATGTGATTACATTTTCAAATATCTAAGGGCCTTGGTTTTTGCTGTGCAAAATTTTGAAAATTTGCAATTTTTTTTTCAAAATCTGGATTGCCAAATTATTATGAGAAAATCTATAGAACCGATTTTGATGAAATTTGGTGTGATGATTCTACGTAGATTCCCTAGAAAATAATGTTTTTTAACCTCATTTTTGGCGATTTTTCCGATTTTTACAATAATAATCATGATTCATTCGATTCATATATTGTAAAATTTAATTACAAAAATTTTTTTCCTGTTAAATTTTCGCCTAAAATCGACTCTTGAAAAGATACATAATTAAATAGGAAGAAAAATATGACACTTTTCGATTTTTTTTAACATATTGTGCCGCCAAAAGTTAAGCCCACGTTTTTATTTATGCGCATAGAAAAATTTTCATTTCTAGTGATATTTGAAAGCAAAAAAGCCAAAAATCTCCGTGGATATACGATTCACCCAAACCAAAACAGATACCGCCTAAATCCATAAATAAATTTATTTATGTACCAAGATTGATATTTATTTTATCCACGAAGACTAAGTACATTTATTTCCAATGTCTAAGAAGTTTACTTGGTGGCGAATTTTGTATTTTTTTTAATAAATAGAACCTAAGAACGCGCTTGTTTGACGATTATAACTTCTCAAAATTGAAAATTATTTGCCTGCTGCAATTTTTTTAGGGCTAATGTTTGGAAACTATTAGGGATATTTTGTTTACTAATATTATTACAACATGGGATTTTGGAGATCTTTTGAAATGGAACAAAACGAAATGTTCCTACAATATAATAAATAAATAGAATGCTGTGTTTTAATTTAATCTTGATCTTATTGTTTTAATAATTTTTAATTTTACCAAAATTTATTGTCCACGCGAAGGAAATAAAATTACTGTTCCATACAAAATTACTAATCACGTGGCTTGGAATCATTTCTGAAGGCTCTGGTTATATTATTGGCTTTCGTATTTTATTCTATTATTTTGTTATTTATTTTTTTATTGGCCTAATACCTTTATAATAGAGCAAAAGAACCTCATGTTCAATATACATCAGTATCGGAAAATGTGCGTGACGAAAAGTAAATTATCAGTTAAATCAACAAGGTATGCGAAGTAGACATTAGGTAATATGCAGGTAATTGGCATGTGACCATTTTCTTACTGTTGATTTACAGATCGTTAATTTATTGATACTAATTGCACTTAGTAATAGTTCTGTTTATTGCGGAATTACCGTTTGATTAATATTGTAGCAACTAACAATTGTGTAAATAATTAAAAAGAACGATTTTAATTACGGGCACATTTAGAGCGTGCAAAAACGTTATCCTTGCATTGAGGTAGGTATTGAAGAAGAGTCCATTCATGGCTCGAGTGATGATGAAGTTTTTGCCATATAAACAATATTAGGTACCGGTTTGGAAGAGAAAGAGTTGAGAGACGGTACCTGATGTAAATGCCAAGAACACGCAAAATCGATATCGTTAGAAT